GTTTAGGGTTTAGGGTTTAGCGTTTAGGGTTTAAGGTTCAGGGTTTAGGGTGTTGCTAGACATACGGTCTAGGGTTTTTGGGCCTTTGAGTCAGCACTGTTTCCAGTCCCTCCTTTGCAGGGTTTAGGACCTTTCAGTCACCCTTAACCCACAACCCTAAACCCTAGACCCTAAACCCAGAAACCCTAAACCTTTACAGGGATCCAAACTAAACCCCTGAGCCCGCGAAGAGTCTCCTCGAGAGCCTCCGATCAAACCCAACACGGAGAAGCGCGGCGAACTCTACACCTGAAACAGAGCCGAGCCAGGGGTGCCACCAACGCCGGCTCGCTGTTTTTGCGGAAGTCGAGGTCGGCCGCCATCATCGATATCATCAGCGCCTATGAGGGCCCCCCCCCCCATTGGCCCCTGGTCAGGGCTTGGGGTTTGGGATTTAGGGTTTAGGGTTTAGGTTTAGGGTTTAGGGCTTAGGGTTTAGGGTTTAGGGTTTAGGGTTTAGGGTTTAGGGTTTAGGGTTTAGGGTTTAGGGTTTAGGGTTTAGGGTTTAGGGTTTAGGGTTTAGGGTTTAGGGTTTAGGGTTTAGGGTTTAGGGTTTAGGGTTTAGGGTTTAGGGTTTAGGGTTTAGGGTTTAGGGTTTAGGGTTTAGGGTTTAGGGTTTAGGGTTTATTTAGGGGTTAGGGTTTAGGCTTTAGGGTTTAGGGTTTAGGGTTTAGGGGTCAGGGGTCGGGGGTTAGGGGTTTAGGGTTTAGGCTCCTGCCCCGCACGCTCTTGAGAACAAACCTTGCAGAAAAGTTGACGCGAGAGGAGTCAGGGTGCACTGTAGGGTGGGAATTTGGGCGTGGACCAAGCCTCCTCCAAACCAAAAGCTAGTATGGCCCTTAGAGCCTTCTGAAAGATATTCCTGAATATGATCCCCATAATCCCAACAAGGGAAAATATGCAAAATCTCCCAAGGCCCTAAACCCCAAACCCCAAACCCCAAACCCCAAACCCCAAACCCTAAACCCTAAACCCCAAACCCTCCAAGTGCCACGAGTCCTGGCTATCCCTTGACGCATCCTTCGTGCAGCTTGGCCGCTGGGTTGTAGAACGTCCATGGCCCCAGAATTCCCACGGAGATCTGCGGGCTGGTGGTTTGGTTTGGGCTTTGGGTTTAAGGGTTTAAGGGTTTAAGGGTTTAAGGGTTTAAGGGTTTAAGGGTTTAAGGGTTTAAGGGTTGAAGGGTTGAAGGGTTGAAGGGTTGAAGGGTTGAAGGGTTGAAGGGTTTAGGGTTTAGGTTTAGGGTTTAGGGCTCAGGGTTCAGGGTTTAGGGTTTAAGGTTTAAGGTTTAGGGTTTAGGGTTTAGGGTTTAGGGTTTAGGGTTTAGGGTTTAGGGTTTAGGGTTTAGGGTTTAGGGTTTAGGGTTTAGGGTTTAGGGTTTAGGGTTTAGGGTTTAGGGTTTAGGGTTTAGGCGTTAGGGTTTAGGGTTTAGGGTTTAGGGTTTAGGGTTTAGGGTTTAGGGTTTAGGGTTTAGGGTTTAGGGTTTAGGGTTTAGGGTTTAGGGTTTAGGGTTTAGGGTTTAGGGTTTAGGGTTTAGGGTTTAGGGTTTAGGGTTTAGGTTTTAGGGTTTAGGGTTTAGGGTTTAGGGTTTAGGGTTTAGGGTTTAGGGTTTAGGTTAGGGTTTAGGGTTTAGGGTTTAGGGTTTAGGGTTTAGGGTTTAGGGTTTAGGGTTTAGGGTTTAGGGTTTAGGGTTTAGGGTTTAGGGTTTAGGGTTTAGGGTTTAGGGTTTAGGGTTTAGGGTTTGGGCTTGTCAGTCCATCCCTCTCGCGTCGCATGACCCACAAGCCATTCCAGGCACACATTCCAAAGCCATCTGTGCGTTAAGACCCTAAACACTAAACCCTGAACCCTAAACACTAGACTCTACACCCTAAACCCTTCACCCAAAACCCTTCACCCTAAAAGCCCATAGCCCTACACTTCACTCCTCCCAAGTTTGTTGTTTAGGTTTAGGGTTTAGGGTTCAGGGTTCAGGGTTTGGGTTTTGGGTTTAGGGTTTGGGCTTTAGGGTTTAGGGTTTAGGGTTTAGGGTTTAGGGTTTAGGGTTTAGGGTTTAGGGTTTAGGTTTAGGGTTTAGGGTTTACGGTTTAGGGTTTAGGGTTTAGGGTTTAGGGTTTAGGGTTTAGGGTTTAGGGTTTAGGGTTTGGGGTTTGGGGTTTAGGAAGTCTCTGGCTTCTTCTTGCAAAGTCGTGCCAGCCTCGGCAGGCGTGGCCCGGAGCCACAGAGACCATATCGCAAGAAAGTGCCATAGCCCCATGGCAGGTTAAGGGTTTAGGGTTTAGGGTTTAGGGTTTAGGGTTTGGGGTTTGGGGTTTGGGGTTTGGGGTTTGGGGTTTGGGGTTTAGGATTCAGGGTTCCCTGAAATAGGGCTATGTTCGGGGATAGCTTCTCCCTAAGTTGGGGGGTTCTCTTGGTGGGGGCTTCTCTTTAAAACATACCGGCCCTTAAATGTTCTAAGAAATATTCAACTTATATCCTCCGTTTATAGGTTAAGGGGTATGGGTTTGGGGTATGTTGAATTCTTGTTAGAAATGTCGGGTGCCCAAAAACAGGCACCATAACTTTAGAGAACATGCCCGTAGTGCTTTGGGCTTCTTCGGAGGGCTTGGCTGGGGGTCTTAGGGTTTACGGTGTAGGGCTGAGGCTAGCGGCTAGGGATTTGGGTTTGGGGTTTAGGGTTCAGGGCTTAGGGCTGAGGTCTTAAGATCTTGGGTTCTTTTTTGGTTTGGAATGGGGTTCTGATCTTGCGCCGACACGCTCTGAGCCCGCGCCAGCGATGCGATAGGAACAGGATGCCGTGATGGTTTTTGTTACATGGCCCCTTCATATGGCGAGTTCTCTAATTCATGGTCCCTCATTGGGTGCCCTAAATAAGAGGGGCCGCCTGAAAATAAGGACCCCCAAAGGGACCGCATTTTCGAGAACTGACCATATGGCCCTTACCTTCTCTATTACAGCCAAACGAGGGGCTCTAGTTTAGGGTCTGGGTTTAGGTTAAGGTTTACAGTTTAGCGCTTAGGGTTTGGGGTTTAGAGTCTAGAGTTTAGGGTTTGGGGTTTAGGGCTTAGGGCTTAGGGCTTAGGGTTTAAGCTTTAGGGTTTAGGGTTTAGGGTTTCGGGTTTAGGGCTTCGGGTTTAGGGTTTAGGGTTTAGGGTTTAGGGTTTAGGGCTTGCTGTATTATGACGCAGATGCTGTGGAGGATAGGATGCAGAAGAGGCTCGAAAGCTTCGGCAGGTGCGAAGAGCAGCTCTGGCCCGATTGTGGAGGGCCATCTAAAGCCTTTCTCCCACCCCACAGAGTCCAAGGCGGCAAAGCCACCCTAACCCTAAACCCTAAACCCTAAACCTTAAACCCTAAACCCTAAACCCTAAACCCTAAATTTAAATTGTTCCTTCTAGGGTTGCGGCCTCGATGGTGTGCCAGGTCGGCTCAAGTGGGGTTGGCTAGGAGGGGCCAGACGGACTGGTGCAGGGGATCCCAGAATCAAAGTCTGTAGGGACGCTGTGGCGATACCTAAACCCTAAACCCTAAACCCTAGACCCTAAACCCTAAACCCTAAACCCTAAACCCTAAACCCTAAACCCTAAACCTAAACCCTAAACCCGAAACCCTAAACCCTAAACCCTAAACCCTGAACCCTAAACCCTAAACCCTAAACCCTAAACCCTAAACCCTAAACCCTAAACCCTAAACCCTAAACCCTGCCCCCGCCCATCGTGGGGTGCTACCTTCCGGCTCTGCGAGGTGGGCAAGCGACTTGGGTCGACCTGCGCAATAGAGGTCGTGGAGATGGGGTTTATCGGCTCAGGGTTTAGAAGCTTAGGGTTTAGGGTTTAGGGTTTAGGGATTAGGGTTTAGGGTTTAGGGTTTAGGGTTTAGAGTTTAGGGTTTAGGGTTTAGAAGTTTAGGGTTTAGGGTTTAGGTTTACGCTTACGGCATCGGAGCCAAGATTGGGAACGTGGCGATTGGCATCCGCCAGCTTGGAACAATCCATGGCCAGAGGGCTTTGAGCAGCGTGGGTTCAAGGTTGCAGCCAGCACAACCGGGCTGCACTGCTCTACTGCCCTTGGCACCACAAAAAGGACCAGGTGGTTTTTTACGACTCTTAAGAAGACAAGAGCCATTGCAAGAGCTTCCAGATGCCTCCAGCGATCCTTTTTGGCGCGAGCGGCAAATACTGACCGAAGCGGGCGACACTCACTCCACGGATGCGCCGCAGTGGATTTTTCCTAGGTCCTAAGCACGGAAGGGCGGGTACAGGGGAGAGGGTTGGGGGTAAGGGGCAGGGGGTAGGGGGGGGCAGCCTTTGTATTCTGCCGTTGCCGTCCAGCTGACATACTTCGTGTTTGCCAGGGGCCTTTGCAGGAGCACCTTTCTCAGGCATGAAGGCTCTTTGCAGAAGAGCTGCCTTTAAATGACTCGGCATACCTACTTATAGCGCCACAGACTTGACCGACCAGCGCAGCGGATTTTCCGAGGTCCTACGCACAGCACAGGCACCTCAGGGGCACCGACCTCGGGGTCAGACCCCCGTGCAAACAAAAGAGACAAAATTGTGCAGAACTTGCCTGAAATACCGATGGCCCGTGCAAGACCATAGCGTCTCACCGCCCTCCGAATTCTGCCGGTGTCGTCCTGATGCAAGCTGGTTCTCGTGCTCCATGAAGACATTATCATTGTCCTTCGTGCTTGCCAGCCGCATATGCAGGAGCGCCTTTCTCTGGCAGGAAGGTTCTTTACAGAAGAGCTGCCTTTAAATGATTCGGCATACCTACTTCTAACGCCACGGACTTGACCGACCAGCGCAACGGAGCTTCCGAGGTCCTAAGCACGGCTCAGGCACCAAATGGGCACCGACCTCGGGGTCAGACCCCCGTGCAGACAAAAGAGACAAAATTGTGCAGAACTTGCTTGAAATATCGATGGCCCGTGCAAGACCATGGCGTCTCGCCTTCTGCGAGTCAAGCCACTGAATTCTGCCGGTGTCCAGATGCAAGCTGGTTCTCGTGCTCCACGAAGACATTGTCCTTCGTGTTTGCCAGCCGCATACGCAGGAGCGCCTTTCTCTGGCAGGAAGGTTCTTGCAGAAGAGCCGCCTTGAGCGATTCGGCATACTGGTGAAACTGCTGTGAGCTCCACCGGTCATTGGGTGCTGGCTGCACGGAGTCAATGACGAATGCCACTTCGGAACGAACTATCTCGAGAAGCCTCGCTCTCTCAATGTTGAAAGTGGAGGAGCAGATATCAGCAAGTGGAAGCAAGTGGCTCTGGATCATCGTGTGCCTCCCATTTTTGAAGACATGGGAGAGAGGGTTCGCGCCCGCAACCCTCGTTTATTGGGTTTTGGGTTTAGGGTTAGACCTCCCAACCTTTATCGTCTCAGCACCCGAAGAATCCCCGCAGTTGCCCAAAGAATGGCCAAGTCCTCCAGACACCAAACGCCGACGCCCCACAAGATGTGAGGCTCCATCGTCTAAATAGGGCTGTTTGGGTTTAGGGTTGTTTGGGTTTTTCGGGGTTTCGGTGTTCAGGGTTCAGGGTTTAGGGTTTGGGGTTTAGGGTTTAGGGTTTAGGGTTTAGGGTTTAGGGTTTAGGGTTTAGGGTGCAGTGTTTATCGGGGGCAAAAGCCCCCCTACTTGGTATGTGGATTTTCGTGCTCAAGGCAACTGAGGCACCTGACCAGAGAGGGCACAACCTTGAAGTCTACGAAGAGGTCCTGGTTTAGGGTTTAGGGTTTAGGGTTTAGGGTTTAGGGTTTAGGGTTTAGGGTTTAGGGTTTAGGGTTTAGGGTTTAGGGTTTAGGGTTTAGGGTTTAGGGTTTAGGGTTTAGGGTTTAGGGCTTCGGGTTTAGGGTTTCGGGCTTCGGGTTTCGGGCTTCGGGTTTAGGGTTTAGGGTTTAGGGGTTCTGCCGAAAATTGAAAATTGAGGGCATGACGGAGGATTCCGGGGGTTAGGGGCTGTGCGAGGCTAGAAGGGCCAGGGGTTGGGTAAATGGGGTTTAAACGTCTAAATGGTTTCGGCTTAGGCCCTACTGGGAAGTCAGATAATCGGGTCGAGGCATGCAAGCTCAAAACAAAGGACTCACACCCAGAAAGGAGCATCCGAAAAAGAAAGCAGGCAAAGTAGGCCGAGCGCTGGCTCTACCTTACCTACACCGTCCGCTCTTCAGGGTGTACCTAAACCCTAAACCCTAAACCCGAATCTGCTCCTGGCGTTTGTACAGCTGCTGCGAGAAGCTGATGTCCGGAAATGCATTGAAACGCTGCAGGTCCCACTCAATTCCACCTCAAGGTCTCTCGTTTAGGGTTGAGGGTTGAGGGTTTAGGGTTTAGGGTTTAGGGTTTAGGGTTTAGGGTTTAGAGTTTAGGGGTTAGGGGTTAGGGGTTAGGGGTGAGGGGTTAGGGGTGAGGGGTTAGGGGTTAGGGATTGGGGGTTAGGGTTGAGGGCAACGGGAAGGCATACGGGGTGGATCCACCTCGCGGGCCCTTGTCTTGTCTCCATTCTCGTGCGCCCCTGATTGTTCTGCGCACCCCCAAACCCTAAGAGGAGACCTAAACATCCTTTAAGGGTTTAGGGTTTAGGGTTTAGGGTTTAGGGTTTAGGGTTTAGGGTTTAGGGTTTTAGGGCTTAACTTTAGGGTTAAGGACTTAACCTAAGCCACGCACCATCCCTTAACTCTTAACCTTGCAAATGGCCCTAGGGGCCCCAAAAAAACCTTGCATGCGTCGACACCACCTCCCAGCTCGCGACAGAACAGCCGCGTGAGCCTGCCACTCGGCGACAGCTCGATCAGAGCATTTTGCTGGTGCGCCTCTCTTCGGGTTTAGGGTTTCGGGTTTAGGGTTTAGGGTTTAGGGTTTCGGGTTTAGGGTTTAGGGTTTCAGGTTTGGGGTTTAGGATTTCTCCAAAAGTCTGGTCCCGGGGTCCTTATGAGGAGGGCGGCCACCCTCCTCGGATTTAGGGTACCCAAAAAAGGGACCAGACATCAGAGAACTGACCTTATGGGCCCTTGATTTGGGGAACCCTTGTAGACCCTTACCCCTTATATACCCACCCGCCCATTCTCATAGAGCCTCGATGGTGAAGCCATAGCGCAGCACCGGAGTGATCTGACATGTTGCAATCACTCTGACATACGAAGAGAACCAGTCCACAATGTCCTGAGATCCGATCCCCGTTGCAGCCCACATCTCCTCCCATAGCGAGCACCCGGCCGGCGTTGGCACGAAGGCGGCAGCCAGAGGTATGAGGCGATGCTGGTCTCGCACATGAGGCACCGGCGAATCTCGCACCAGCATGCCGCAGTAGCGCGCCTCCTCATACGACACGCCGCCAGGCGCAGGCTCATTCTCATAGTCCACATGGCACGTGCGAGCTTCCCGCAGCATCACCAGCTCTTGTGGAAGGTCTAGCTTGGACAGGAGCTGGGAGATGAGAGCACTCTCCTTTATAGAGGGTTCTTAAGACAGAAGCTCCCCTCCCTTAAGAACCCCAAGTGCTCTAGCCCTCAACCCTACACCCTAAACCCTAAACCCTAATACTCCTGGATCTCAACCGGGGACACGTACCGCGGCCATGAGGTCATCTGCAGCGGGACCGGTAGCTTGGCGTAGTAGCCCTTGCTATTCTCCTTGGTTGCTACTTAACCCCACAATAGACGTTTGACTTTTAGCTCCCCTTAGTAAGACATTAGAGGAACCCTAAACTCACAAAGTGACAAAGTTGTAGTACAGTCCCACCTAGTCTCTAGGAGCGTGCGGAACGATAGGGTCGGCCTAAACCCGCCGGCCGACCCCAGAATCTTCATGCTCCCCTCCTGAAACTGGCGCCAGAAGATGCTTCGAAGGTTCTCATCATTCCTCGGTTGCTCTTTAACCCCCCTATGAAAGTTTAACTTTTAGCTCCCTTGATATGAAATAAGAGGAACCCAAAACTCATAAAGTGCTACAGTTGTAGTAAAGTCTCACCTAGGTTCAGAGGGTTTAGGGTTTAGGGTAAAACCTAAACCCTAAACCCTAAACCCTAAACCCTAAACCCTAAACCCTAAACCCTAAACCCTAAACCGTGAAGTTGTAGTAAAGTCCAACCTAGATGCAGAGGGTGCACCCAAAGGAGTACATAGTCATCCGCGTTCGCCTTTCCCACCTCTCCAGAGGCAGGAGAGACTCAAGTAAGTCTTGAGTGGGACAAAACTTGCCCTAAACCCTAAACCCTAAACCCTAAACCCTAAACCCTAAACCCTAAACCCTAAACCCTAAACCCTCTCTACCATATACATTTTGACCTTAATGGAATTTCAGAACAAGCCGCTATATTTTCAGAATAAGGCCGCTTTATTTTCAGAATAAGGCCGCTTTATTTTCGGAATAAGGCCGCTTTATTTTCGGAATAAGGCCGCTTTATTTTCGGAATAAGGCCGCTTTATTTTCAGAATGAGGGCCGCTTCATTTTCAGAATAAGGCTTTTTTTTCAGAATAAGGCCGCTGTATTTTCAGAATAAGGCCGTTTTTTGCTTTCTTTAGGGTTTAGGGCCTACGGGCTGGCTTTAGGGTTTAGGGCCTACTCTGGGCTGGCTTTAGGGTTTAGGGCTTTAGCGTTTAGGGCCTACTCTGGGCTGGCTTTAGGGTTTAGGGCCTACTCTGGGCTGGCTTTAGCGTTTAGGGCCTACTCTGGGCTGGCTTTAGCGTTTAGGGCCTACTCTGGGCTGGCTTTAGCGTTTAGGGCCTACTCTGGGCTGGCTTTAGCATTTAGGGCCTACTCTGGGCTGGCTTTAGCGTTTAGGGCCTACTCTGGGCTGGCTTTAGCGTTTAGGGCCTACTCTGGGCTGGCTTTAGCGTTTAGGGCCTACTCTGGGCTGGCTTTAGCGTTTAGGGCCTACTCTGGGCTGGCTTTAGCGTTTAGGGCCTACTCTGGGCTGGCTTTAGCGTTTAGGGCCTACTCTGGGCTGGCTTTAGCGTTTAGGGTCTACTCGGGGCTGGCTTAGCGTTTAGGGCCTACTCTGGGCTGGCTTTAGCGTTTAGGGCCTACTCTGGGCTGGCTTTCGTTTAGGGCCTACTCTGGGCTGGCTTTAGCGTTTAGGGCCTACTCTGGGCTGGCTTTCGTTTAGGGCCTACTCTGGGCTGGCTTTAGCGTTTAGGGCCTACTCTGGGCTGGCTTTAGCGTTTAGGGTCTACTCGGGGCTGGCTTAGCGTTTAGGGCCTACTCTGGGCTGGCTTTAGCGTTTAGGGCCTACTCTGGGCTGGCTTTAGCGTTTAGGGCCTACTCTGGGCTGGCTTTCGTTTAGGGCCTACTCTGGGCTGGCTTTAGCGTTTAGGGCCTACTCTGGGCTGGCTCTATAGGGTTTAGGCATGATTTGAGTAAACTTTTTTCTCAATGTAATGGGATTCTCTGGGTGGGTGGGTGTTATATCACACCCGTAAATAAAGCTTGACCATAAAACTGCTCGACCCGGAGTGCTGAACCCTAAACCCTAAACCCTAAACCCTAAACCCTGACAAGTACGGGAGCAAGGGCCACAGCAAATGACGAGCGGATGGGGCAAGCTGTGCCTCCTGGATCAGCAGATCCATCGCTTCAGGATGATTTGAAGACCAGAAGTCCTGTCAGAGGGGAGCAGGTTTAGGGGGTTTAGTGTTCAGGGTTTAGGAAAAGGCTTCTACCATGTTTTCCTGCTCATGATGGACATACCGCATCAAAAAGGCATCTACACATTGTCAGGGTTTGCAGGGCGCAGGGTTTAGAGCTTCCGCTGTGCTGCGCAAGGCCTGAAATCGGTCAAGTTCGGGTTTAGGGTTTAGGGTTTAGGGTTTAGGGTTTAGGGTTTAGGGTTTTGGGGAGGTTAGGGCTCAGGGCTAACTTTTCAGTGTTTAAGGCTTAAAGAGGAGGAGCTTTGCATGCGGAGGAGCCTTTTCTAGCATTCCCTAATCGTGGGGTTGCCCGCAAGGTGGTGGGAGGTTTTGGGCTTGGGGTTTGGCGTGCAGCGTAGGGTTAGGGAGAGTTCTGGGGTTTAGGGTTGAGGGTTTAGGGTTTAGGGTTGAGGGTTTTGCGCGGCCAGTGGAAGATAGGGAACAGTCAGAGCAACAAGCACCATTATGCTGTGGGGTTCACCTCCCTAACACAAGCCGACCCAGATCGCTCGCCCGCCTCCCACACCATGGGGGGGCTGATTATTTGGGTCTTCCCATGCCCGTAACCCATAACCCCCTTACCCCCGACCCCTGCCACCCCTCCCCCCACCCTGCCCCCGCTTCGCTACCCTAATCCCCTGACCCCCTCATCTGACCTCCCCTAAACCTGCTAAACTTCGAACCTACTGCAAACCTCCCTAAACCCAAGGAATAGGTTTGGGTGGCTTTGCCGCCTTGGACGGCGTGGGGTGGGAGAAAAGTGTTAGATGGCCCTCCACAATCGGGCCAAAGCTGCTCTTCGCACCTCACGAAGCTTTCGAGCTTGTTCCGAAACCTAGCCTTCACAGCATCTACGCCCTATCACCGCAAACCCTCCCACACCGTAAACCCTAAACCCTAAACCCTTTAGGTCTAGGAGAGCGCCTGCCATTCCTCGGGCGTGGGGAAAGCCACCATCACTTCGCGCCGCGCTGCCAGGAGCTGCATCGGAATCGTCTCACCGAACTCTGGGGAGCACCGGCACACCTCTAGGGTTTAGGGTTTAGGGTTTAGGGTTTAGGGTTTAGGGTTTAAGGTTTAGGGTTTAGGGTTTAGGGTTTGCGGTTTAGGGTTTAGGGTTTCGGGTTTAGGGTTTAGGGTTTAGGGTTTAGGGGTTAGGGTTTAAAGTTTAGGGTTTAGGGTTTAGGGTTAGGGTTTAGGGTTTAGGGTTTAGGGTTTAGGGTTTAGGGTTTAGGGTTTAGGGTTTAGGGTTTAGGGTTTAGGGTTTAGGGTACATACTTCAGGCTATTTGGGGATCATGAAGCCTAATTAAGGTAATTTAAGGGGAGAACCTAGGGAGGGTAGTGTAAGTGGGGGGGGGGAGGGTAGTAGGGAAGCCCCTGGATTCCCCTTTTCACCATCATAGCACGACAGGCCCAATATCTTTCAGGGATAGTATGTTTCACTACCAGGATCCCTGAACCCTAAACCCTAGACCCTAGACCCTAAACCCTTAAACACATTCGCCAATATTCACAAGGAACCCTGTACACACTCAAAAAAAACAGTAGTATTAGTATAAAATCTGTTTCACGCAACCCTACAAGACCCAAAACCAAGAAGAAAGCAACAAAGCAACCAAACAGCTTTCAGAATTCAAGGGCGTTTAGGGGTGTAGTTTTGTAACGGCACACCTGTTGGGGGCAAAGAGGAACGCCACGGTGAACGTCGAGCTTCGACTTCGCCATCACATGCGTGGGGTGCCCGGCAAGGGCCGCGAACTGCTCCCAGAATGCGATGGAATCCTCCAGGCCCATGTCGCTCTCGTCGTAAACGAAGCGCCAGAGATTCCCGGCATCACGCGCATGCCACACAAAGCGCTGGAAGAGTACGGCCAGAGCTTCATTCAGGACACAACACCAGGCTTCTTCGACGAGATTTTGCAACGGCTTTTGGCCACAGGAGAAGGAGATGCGCGCGATAAGACCCTCGAAGGTAAGCGACTCCTCTGCTCTATATTTGCTCGTCGTCTGCGACCGGACTTGAAACACTCCATCCCCGAAATGGACTTCCGCATCTGGCATAATCTTCTCCAGCCGCAAGGCCGTCTCCAATCTCTTGGCAAATCGCTGCCCAGCTGTGTTCAACGCGCTGTCTACGCTGTCTTGAGTCCACTGAACACTTGTCCACCTCAAAACTGCTTTGGCAACAGACAAAAAATGAGTCTCAGCTGGGATGTTCCCCCTTGTACTAAGTAGTCCTGAACAGGGATTATGATGGGGGGTACTAGAACCCCTAGAAGGACTGTTAGTATAAGGGGAGCATCCCAAAGTCTCAGAAGAGACCGTGGCTAGAATAGAGAGTGCGAGTAAGCCGGGGATGACCAAGGCAAGCCCACAGAAAGGGGTAAGCTCTCAAGAAACACCACAAGCCTGCCAGAGGAGAAGTCCCCACAAGGCCCTGAACCCTAAACCCTAAACCCTAAACCCTAAACCCTAAACCCTAAACCTCACCCCGAAGCCCTTCACTCGAAAAAAACTGCACCCGTGCGGCTGCTGCCGGCAGAGCTCCAGCAGAAGCTGGTCCATTGGCTCCTGAGGAGACTGACCACCCTCCTCGGCTGACTTCTGAACCTAGGGTTTAGGGTTAGGGCTTAGGGCTTAGGGCTTAGGGTTTAGGGTTCAGGGTTCAGGGTTCAGGGTTCAGGGTTCAGGGTTTAGGGTTTAGGGTTTAGGGTTTAGGGTTTAGGGTTTAGGGTTTAGGGTTTAGGGTTTAGGGTTTAGGGTTTAGGGTTTAGGGTTTAGGGTTTAGGGTTTAGGATTTAGGGACCCCTCCTAAAAGTTTAACTTTCAGCCTCCTTATTGCAGTTGCTTCAAAAAAAAACCCAAAAGCTTCAAGTCCTAAGGGCCAGAAGAAAGCCAAGCTGCCTCAGTGCCATTGCCCAAGCCAGCTGTCATAGCGTGGCGTTGCGGTATTCTGGGCTTCGGGTTTCTCGGCACCCTGAGCCGAAACACTGGCTCGAGGCATGGGGGTCTAAGCACCTGCCTTAGGGCTTGAGTGTGTTTTGAGGGCGTCTTGAAGGCGTCTTGAGGGTGTCTTGAGTGCGTTTTTGAGGGTGTTTTGAGGGTTTTTCGAGTTCTCGAACTTCTCGGGTTGCTTGAGGGTTTGTAAGGGTTTTTGGGGTTCTTTACTGCGGTGTTTCGGGCATGGCTCGGACTTGGGCGCCTAGGGCTTAGAGGTTTATGGCCTTGGGCTTCGGGTTTAAGGCCTTCGGGCTTAGGGCTTAGGGTTTAGGGTTTAGGGTTTAGGGCTTAGGGCTTAGGGTTTAGGGTTTAGGGTTTAGGGCTTAGGGCTTAGGGTTTAGGGTTTAGGGTTTAGGGTTTAGGGCTTAGGGTTTAGGGTTTAGGGCTTCGGGCTTAGGGTATACAATTTTGTAGGGTGGCCTAAGGCCTAAGGGTTGCCGTGGGACCTTGGCACCGCGACCGGCCTCACAAGACGGCGGTACAGTGGGGATTCCGGGGTCAGAGTTTAGGGCTTAGGTTGAGGGCTTAGGGGTTAGGGTCTCGTGGCATCTCAAGGCTCAAGAATGGCGATTCAAGAACGGAGGGTAGTTCTCGAAGTTAAGGTCACACACCCAAAAAGAGACCCTACTCTAAAGAACTTGGAGTGCAGTGCCAATCCTTAAACAAACCATAAACCCTAAACCCTAACCCTAGACCCTGTATGCCAAGACCGCCCCGCCTAATCAAACCTCCTAAACCCTAAGCCATCCGAAACCCTAAACCCTAAACCCCAAAACCCTAAACCCCCTAAACCCCCTAAACCCTAAAGCCCCTAATTAAACCCTAAACCCCCTAAACCCTCAACACCATAAACCCTACACACCCTAAACCCAAACACCCTAAACCCTAACCCCCCTAAACCCTAAACCCCCTAAACCCTACACACCCTGAACCCCAAACCCTAAACCGTAAAAGCTAGCTCCCCCGCTCTTTCTGCCAACTCGGGGATGGCTCTCTTGGTCCAACCACCGCGACGCCCAAGGCACTGAGGTCCTATTTCGGGCCGGCATTTGTCAATCAGAAAGGGCTTCTTGTCTAGCTCACGCCCCCCACTTGGAGGTTCATGGGCAGTTGTAACCACAGTTATAAGTCTACTGATAACCTACTTAGGGGACTTAGGGGGCTTATAAGTACAGTTATAAGTAGAGTTATAAGTACCATGAACCTCCAAGCACCCCCCCGCCCTTTCCAATTTCTGCAGAAGAAGAAGGAGAAGAATAAGAAGGCCATAAAAAGAATAGAGCAACAAATGGCAAGTACATGGAATCATAATAAGAAACACAACTACATGTATGTATGTATGTATGTATGGATGGATGGATGTATGTATGTGTGTATGTGTGCAAACAAATAGGAATGATGAGGGGATGATCATTCCAGTACTCGGGTCCAGGGCGAAGCGTCCCTTCACTGGCTGTCGCCTTCGGTGTCGTGCTTGGCCTCACTTCCGCTGTCGCTTGCACAGCCGATTGCGGTCGGTTGCTCCGAGCCGGTCGACTCCCCAGAACTCGCGGAGTCATCGCAGCCCTTGGCCAGCCTTCTCGCATCGGCTTTCCACTTGGCAGCCGCCACAAGAAGAAGCATGAGAGCCTATACTCCCCCTTAGAACCTTAATAAGAATTGTATGTTTATTTTTCCCCTTGGGTTTCTATATAAACAAAAAATTTAAAAAAAAATCCCAAGGGGGGATGTAGGAACGATGTAGCTGACCACCTGCGCCCAGGTGAAGGGCTGGCGGAAGATGAAGATCCCAACCGCAAACATCAGGACGCCATGAAACCGGGCCACGAGGGCGTAGCCCACGGCACCGAAGTTCCCAACGGTCTCGCAGTCCACGTACCCCAGGAGGGGGCTGAGGATGCAGGTGCCGGCCATGAGCCAGTAGGCCCAAGAAGCAGATGGGGGAAAGGGCAGGGCAGCATCTTGCCGGAGTTGGCTTGCTTCAAAGATTCCCACACCCGCAATGGCGAAGCACGTGTAGAGCGGGGTAGTACGCGCCAGTAGAGTCAACGAAGGAACATCCTTGGCTGCTTTCTGTATGAGGAGGTTTAAGGCAACATCCGACACCGCGGCCGCGAGAGAGAAAGAGATGCCTGGTATCTGCGCAACGGTGGCCTTCTCAAAGTCATGATGACCACAAAGAACGGCTGACAGTGTAGCAAGCCATATCCCCAACATGACCAGCGACATCCGAATGCTGCAGTGGTCCATGCCCAGCAGTGTACTGACGACGTAGGTCAACGGCGTCTTCACACAGGAAACGATGACGAACATCGGGAGGGTGAGATACATCAAGCTGATCGTGCGGCAGGCGTTGAAGCTGAAACGGAGGAAAGCGATAGGGCCATAGACTCTCATGTAGTCTCTTGGCGATGGTTTGCCTGTCAGAGGAAGTCCCCCGCAGCTCCAGGCACAGACCCCCAAGACAACATTGGACAGCTGGTTCACAGCCACAAGCAAGAGTGGATAAGGAAAAGGGCCGCTAACCAACGGTTGCGTGAGGATGTTCTTCAGAGGATGGCCAAGCGCAACCAAAACAAGCTTGGCCCTGCTTGCGAAGCCCATGTTTCAGGGCAAGCTAAGCACAGACCATGAACCATGGTAACCATGGGGGGGGGAGAGGGGGGAACACCATTGGCAGCATTTCAAAAGTTGAACTGAGCTCATCAGACCCCCAAAGCCCCTAAGCCCCTTAACCCCCAAACCCCTAAACCGCCTAAACCCGTAAACCCTAAACCCTAAACTCGTAAACCCTCAACCCTACACCCGAAACCCTAAACCCTACACCCTAAACCCTAAGACCCCCAACCCTAAACAGCCAGACATGTGCTCCAGCCAAAGAAAAGCTTTCAGGCGGCGGGTTTTGGGGGAAAAATCGGAAACCCCGAACTCCCAACAAAAAAGGGTTTAGGGTTTAGGGTTCAGGGTTTCGGGTTTAGGGTCTAGGGTCTAGGGTTTAGGGTTTAGGGTTTAGGGTTTAGGGTTTAGGGTTTAGGGTTTAGGGTTTAGGGTTTAGGGTTTAGGGTTTAGGGTTCAGGATCCAGGGTACAAGGTATAGGGGATAAGAGGCCTGCAACCCCGGTATCTCGGCATCCAGAACAAGGACAGAATGAAGTGGAAGGCTGGAAGGCTTCTGGCAGAAACCCTAAACGTTTAAACCCTAAACCCCAAACCCTAAAACCTAAACCAAACCCCATACCCCAAACCCTAAACCGTTAACCCTAAACCCCAAACCCTAAAACCTCAGAGGCCTCCCGAAATTGCTGCACCCGCAGACACCCAAGCCTAACACCTGAAACCCTAAACCCTGAAACCTACAGCCTAAACCCGAAACCCAGCAAGGTTCTTTCCGCGCACTTGCGCTGGCGGCTCTGTCCCCAGCAACGGACCTCGTGGGCCGGCGCATTGTGACTTCTTGACGATTTTGGTGGGTTTGGGGGGCAGGTTGAGGTCTAGGGCTTGGGGTTTAAGGTTTAAGGTTTATGGCTGTGGTAAACTCAACTGTCAAGTGCTCCTCCAAATGGCCTAAGGCTACTTGTGAGGGTGGCGCAAACCCCAGCTAGCTCCTGCTTCTGGGGGCGGCGTGGGAACAAGCCTGCAAACAAAGAGTGCTGACACTAGAACATGATGCAGGTTTATGGCTTTGGGATGTTTAGGGTTTAGGGTTTGGGGTTTAGGGTTTAGGGTTTAGGGTTTAGGGTTTAGGGTTTAGGGTTTAGGGTTTAGGGTTTAAGGTGCAGGGTCTTGTGGGTTTCGGCTGCTTTGAAGGATGGATCCAAGGTGTGTAGAATCAGAGGCGTAAGGCCTGGAGGTGAGAACCCTAAACCCTAAACCCTAAACCCTAAACCCTAAACCCCTAAAAAGACTTCTGAGCACTTTCGGCAGCGAGAAGGTGGGGCAGTGGACCCCCAAATGGGGCCCGTGCTGTCCTACCACTTGCTTAAGGACCCCCCAAAAAAACTAGAGCTGATGATCCCTATATTCCCTTTATAAGGGTTTAGGGTTTAGGGTTTAGGGTTTAGGGTTTAGGGTTTAGGGTTTAGGGTTTAGGGTTTAGGGTTTAGGGTTTAGGGTTTAGGGTTTAGGGTTTAGGGATAAGGAAGACTATTCATAATCTTTTGAGGGGTTCTTAAGCCTTGAGCTAATAGTAGTGTTTTCCAAGCCCCTGGACTTTACACAACAAGGGTTGAAGCATCAGGATCAAGCCCATAGCGCACTCGCGTCATCGAGATCAGCTCCCGGTGCCCCAGCAGCACGACGTTGCCGCGCAGCGCAGCGGCCATAGCCTCCACGTCTGCGAAGGAGATGTCGTGGATCTTGTATAAGAAGACCGTGCTCCCCGGCTTCAAGCCGTTGACGTGATTGGCCACATCTATCGGGCGGCTCTTCGTGAACCAGCGCAGGGTCTCAGTAAAGGTGACAACCTTAGTTGTCCAGAAATCTGGAAGAACTTAAGGTTAACCTTTGGGACTACAAGGGGATTGTACTACCCCAAAAAGGTTAGAGGTTACCTACTCTACTGCTAGGCAGCATCGTTCGCAACCACCGGAGGCACAGCGGGCTGAACTGGCGAGAAGACGCCTCTGATGGCCGTGTGCGCATATTTGGCCACGGCTTGCTCCATGGCGGTCTCTTGATTGTAGGCATCCCAATGGACGTAGGCGCACATGTCCAGCTTCTCTGCGGCCTGCACGGTCAGGTTCGTCAGAAGGGCCTCTTTGGTGTTGGAGGAGGGGTGCAAGAAGCCATACCCACTCGGCCCCATCAAGAAGCTGTCGCGTCCCCCGGTCCGCTGGGCAGCAGCATAGAGCCAGCGAAGCACGGTGGGTGCGAACTCCATGAGGCGGTTTGAGATTGTCCAACCGACTGGCGGACACGAGGCTTGAGAAGCCTTGGAGGCCTCGACCACGGACTTCGCGCACAGGGCCAAGCGCTCTTCCATGCGAGGCCGCAAGGAGTTGTAGTCCAGCTGCATGTTGTCGCCATCAGAGGACAAGAGCGCCACATAGATCTTAGAGGGGTCGTACTTCGGCACCGGCTGCAGGGCAGACTGCTTCAAGGATACGACCGGCGGGAGCAGCGAGAAGAAGGCCAAGTTTGGGGACATGTCGGAGACCAAAGAAATCTCCGAGTGGCTGCTGGTGCAGTCCGCCACCACCTCGGATCCTGCGAAGTATCCCATGATGGACAGTTCCGTGTCGATCGAAGACAGGCTTTCTGTGACCTGCCTGAAGAGCAAGTTGTCTTCTGTGCCAGCAGTGCAGAGATGGTCCATCCACATCACGAACATGGTGTCTTTCACGGCCAGGTCGACTAAGAAGCCTTCCGCGATCAGCTCCGGCGTCTGAATCACGATGCGCGACTTCGTCATGTTCGGCAGCACGCCTTGCACCGTGTCCTTGGTAGCTTCGACCTGGGATGACCATCGGCCGCGCACATCTGCAAGCACCGGCAGGTGCTCCAGCGAGTGGTTCGTGTGATGAGTATCAATGGGTATGGCGCGGTGGAGAGCCGCGAGGCTCACGGCACTTGCAAAGGACCAGGGCTCCGAGGCGTTCACCAAGACTCGCCCTTTCACTGCCCCGGCTGCGATGGCGGCCTCCAGCAGCTCTGGCCACTGGACCTCCCGGAACTCCGCCTGCTTCAAGCTCTCCTCCAAGGCAACGGCCGTCTTGAGCCACCCCGCGTCTGAAGGCATCTTGCGCAAGAAGACCGCCGGCCGACCCAGCTTCTGGTTCATCAGCCCCTGAAGAGCAGCGACCGTCATGCCCAACGGCGCCGGCGGTGTGTCCAACACAAAGCTCGCTCCATTCTTGTACAACGCGGGCTCCCCCGAAGCCAGCACCAACAGCGACGCGGCACAGAAAGGGCCTAGCGCAGCCATGACAGCCATACCCCAGGAGGAGAGATCCGCACAGCCTGAGCCAAAGTAGACACGGAGCCCCTCTTTGTTCGAACAAGTGGCAAAACGAACGGAGAGCAGCTGTCAAGCTTGTCCTGCGTTCTTGATGAAACCCGGTATGTTTATGGATGTATATGTATGTGTGTAGATGTAGATATATATATATATATATACATTTATATATATATATAAACATTTATATATATATATATATGTATATGTAGAGACATTGCCACGCCGAATTGGCACGCCTACCAGTGCACTTCGTGGCATCCTTGGGGTTTAGTAACGCATAAAGAAAAGCACCGTGGTACATTATCAGCATCTAGTTCCCCTACCTAGGGTTTAGGGTGCAGGGTTTAGGGTTTAGGGTTTAGGGTTTAGGGTTTAGGGTTTAGGGTTTAGGGTTTAGGGTTTACCCCCCCCCCCCCCCCCCCCAGTACCTACGTCTGCCCCCCCCTGCCGCCCCGAAAACCCCGCCAAACCCGAAAAGCAAAGCACTGAAAACTGAAACCCCGCAAACCCTAAACCCTAAACCTTAAACCCCCTTAACACCCCAAACCCCCCCTAAACCCTCAAACCCTGAACCCTAAACCCTAAACCCTCAAACCCTAAACCCTAAACCCTCAAACCCTAAACCCTGAACTTCTGAGTGCTGGGCAGCTTCTTCGAGAGCTCCTAGGACGGCCCCTTCCTTCAAGCACTTGGTTTTAGGGGTTTAGGGTTTGGGGTTTAGGGTTTTGGGTTTTGGGTTTAGGGATTGAGGGTTTAGGGGTTTGGGTATCAGGATACTTGTCTTTCAGTCTTTACGCACACTGCTCTCGGTGTGTTAAAGCTCTTACGCGGCGCCGTTCGCTCCTTCGCACCCTTAAACGAGGCACGGTGCCTCATGCGCGTTACCCATGAGTTCAGAGTGCTTCAGCTGGCATGGTGTTCAGAGATTTCCTGGACGCACTCCCTAAACCCTAAACCCTAAACCCTAAACCCTAAACCCGAAACCCTAAACCCAAGGAGCGTGCCACTCCCCGCATCTGCCGGAGGCCGCCGCCTGCCAGAGATGCGGGTCCATGTGCGGGAATGCCCCCCCCCCCCCCCCCCACCTAAGAAGACACTGTTGCATGCAGAAGGCTTAGGGTTTAGGGTTTAGGGTTTAGGGTTTAGGGTTTAGGGTTTAGGGTTTAGGGTCTAGGGTTTAGGGTTTAGGGTTTAGGGTTTAGGGTTTAGGGTTTAGGGTTTAGGGTTTAGGGTTTAGGGTTTAGGGTTTAGGGTAGGGTTTAGGGTTTAGGTTGTAGGGTTTGTGAGTTGAGGGTTGAGGGTTTGGGGGTTAGGGTTTGGGGTTTGGGGTTGGGGGCATCACTTCAGGCCATACTTGCAGCCATGTTTTCGGCACTTACGCTCCGCTAACTCTGTCACCTGCTGTACCAAGTCTCTGAGACGCGCAAGAGACTGTGCCTCAGCGCCCTCATCTAAGAAACCGATGTACTGTGTTGTGCTGTCTAGCCAGCAGACGGTAAATTAGGCAGTAGCGGCCTTGACACGTGCAAAGCAGCACTTGGCAATGTCTGCGTTCAAGAAGTATGGAAGAGAGAACGCGTTGGACATCTCAGCCTCCTCGAGCTCTGCCTCGATCTCCGAATCGCACCGAGACCAGCGCCACTCCGTTTCCTGCCACCAAACATTTGCAAGTCCACGCAGCCGGGCGGCATTCACAAAGGATGCGCGGCGGTGATATCGGTTGTAAAAGTCGAAGTCCTTGATGTCGAGCAGGCCACCATACTCTGTCCAGGTCATGGCCAGCCCGTCACAAGGCGGGAACGTATAACGACGAACCTCACCATTGAGCCATCTGTCTTCTTTGAACGGCGGCATGCGATGCCCCTTGGAAGCAGCTATTCGCCTGGAAAGGAAGAACAAGAGGCAGCCGTGTGCAGCCACACCGATCACAGACCCTGGGAGCTGCATCAGATAGTCCCACACGAACTCGGCACGTCGAATGAGCGACTGTGCCGTGTCCAGCATTGGGAGGGGATGAGTTGCGCTGGACGCAAACTCCACCTCCCAAGAAGGCCAATCTCGCCGGACTTCGTGCTCACGGCGAGACTCGTTCCAGATGTCGTCACACTGAATTTCCACCATCTGGTCTAAGGCGATGAGAGGGGCATCGTCTGCCTTCAGTGGCACCAAACCTTCGTAGCCCAGTAACCATATTAAGATTAATAGGGCACCCTTTTTGGGGTTGGGTGCTTGATAAGGGAACCTTTCACCCTGAACCTTTAAAACCTACACCCTAAACCCTAAACCCTAAACAAAAAAAGGGTAAAGGGTACCACTGGGCTACCAAGGAAACTAAGCTCGGCCGTTTGCAGGGCACGCTGCAGAGTCGAGCTGACGACCACGTCCAGCTTTCCTTCTCCACGCTCTTTCAGAGCCTCAGGGTTTAGGGTTAGGGTTTAGGGTTTAGGGTTTAGGGTTTAGGGTGCAGGGTGTGAGGGTTCAAGACATGGCTAAGCACCCTCCCGGGAACAAACGAAGGGATCCCCAAAAAAAAGGGCCGAAAGCGAGCCTCCCCCCTGCAACCCCAGATCGCTTGCCAGAGCAGTCTACCTACCTTCCCATCCACTTCTCCTCACCACAGAATTATAGTACAAATCGTAAGGGTCCATGTGCCTGTTTAGCACAGGCCCTAAAGCTACAATATGCGACCCCCTTTTTAGGGCCCCAATATCTACTGTATAGGTACATGGATCCTTAGGGTAACTTAAGCTACCGTAACACCCTAAACCCTGAACCCTAAACCATAAACCCTAAACCCTCAACCCTCAACCCTAAACCCTAACTACCCTGAATGTAGGGGCCCCCTACATTGCCCTGATCAAACAGCGCTATGTTGCAAGTCGGGCTGTAGGCCCACATTCTGTGATTGCTGTGATGCCACTTTAGGGTTTAGGGTTTAGGGCAAGGTTTAAGGTTTAGGGTTTAGGGTTTAGGGTTTCGGGTTTAGGGTTTCGGGTTTAGGTGTAGGGTTGAGGGTTTAGGGGTATAGGGGTTGAAGTGGCTTAAGGGATTTAAAAACTTAAACATGACGTGCGGACGCTTCGAGCCGAGCATCTCTGTCAAGCACCTCTCGAGCAGCCAATGCCTGAGAGGTGCCGGTGTCTGTCCTGAGCTGAACTTGGAACCCTAGCAAAAATGATCGTTTTTCTGCTTCTTAGGAATTCTTGTACCCCAAAAAACATAAACATATCATTCTTGCTGTTTCTTAGGAATTATAGTACCCAAAATTAAACATATCATTCTTGCTGCTTCTTAGGAATTATAGTACCCAAAAATTGAAACAGTATTTCCAAAAGCACCCCGAAGTGTCAAGGGAGGGTCCACTAGGGAGGGATCTCTTCGGCGCTCGTAGCTGCCGGAACCTCGGTCAACCAAGTTGTGGAGCGCCTCGCCATGTCGCAGCAGGTACACCGTCTTCATCTGTACAAGATGCTTAAGGCCCTGGTGGGGGCTTCTTGAGCCACTGCTGGAAAGAAGCAAGACAGGTGACGCTTCCGAGCCCGAGCCCCTGCGTCTTTGTCTGTGTCTGTGCCTGTCTCTGTCTGCCTCTGTCTGTCTCCGTCTGTCTCTGTCTGTCTCTGTCTGTCTGTGTGGAGTTTGAGGTTCAGGACGACATCCAAGAACGTACAAGCAGGGGATACTTTACTAAACAATCCTACAAAGCATGCCATACAGAGCGACCCTGACTTGGAAGATCCCAAACCACCGTGGCCCCATGAACGTCGTGTCATAAGGGCGTCTCTCGTAGCGCTACCTTGAAAGCCGGTAGACTATAACTCTGGGCTACAGTTATTTTGGGTAGCAAGGCGCTTAAGGTAGACGTTCGAGGGGAACGGTGCAGCCACTAAAAAACAGCTTGCATCCTTTTCCGGGCCTTAACAGAAGCAGATGCCCAGGCCTGTGAGGAGTGGCTGGTCGGCGTTGCTCTGCGTGACGGCGCCATTGAGAACGAAGAAGCTGTGAACTTCGACTAGGCTAATTACATCGTCAAGCTTACCTTGGGGGAGGATCCAAAACAACAAAAACCCTAAGCAGGAGTTCATGCGTTCAGGCTTGAGCATCAGCGAGTTCGCCGGACTCAGATATGTCCCTCAACGTGCGACTCCAGTGTGAGCACATCTAGTCCTTGGCAGGTCCCAAGTGCTGGGAAGTGACCACGTCAACAACAGCAAGTAAGTAGTCCTAAGTAGCTGCACTGAACACATACTCGGTTGCTGCCCATGATTCGCTGTGAGTCCCGGCACATGTGTCATCACCAGAAGGAAAGGACAGGAGCAAAGCATCATGTACTGCATGGGTGATGGTCTTGAGAACACCCTAAACCCTAAACCCTAAACCCCAAACCCTAAACCCTGAGAATCCTTTTTCATTGCTCAGGTGTAGAGCGAGAATGAGCAAGAATGCCTGTCATGTCAAAGCATCCTTCTGAGACTCGACTTTCGGTCGAGCCGTGGGCATGTGGGGATGTTGAGGCCCGTGCCTTTCGTCTGCGAAGCCTTTGGCAGAGACACCGGGCCAAGCCCGAGGGCGAGCGAGACTGTAGAGTCAGTGCGCAGATACTCCCAGCATGGAACTCACAGAGATGTTCATCGATTGTTCGGCCGGGAGAGTATGACTTGAGGCATGACCGGCTGCTGAGCAGGTATCTGCTTCCCTCCGCGGGTCCTTAGGGGGCCTTTTTGCGAGGGCTTTGATAGCACAAGGGGAGCATCATCGGGGGGCATCAAGGGAGGTGAGGGAGGCTGTGGGAGCTGACACATGGAGCGGTGTGTGGACCCTGTTGCAACCCCAGTCAGGCCCATCCTTGCACCGTGGGATGTCTTCACCGTGCTGGACTCCTGGACACGAGTTGAAAGCGTACACACCTACCGACATGCGACCTGCTCGTCAGGATAGGAGAAAGTTGCCAAATGGCACGGTCGAGAACGATAAGTTTCTTGGATGTCAGGGCTCCTCCGCAGCACGGCACAAGCCTCAGGCGGCATGTGCCAGCGTTCTCACCCACAAAGTTTTTTCCGCCTCCAGAGTTTCAATGCACCGACACGGCGCACTCAAGGAAGGCTGACGACGTGATCGTCCGCGCACCACGCGGCTCGAAGCTTCTCCGCACGGGCGAAGCTGCACGGGCACGGAACAGACCGGCGCCCGAGTCTTGGATGCAGGGTCAACAGCACCGCTGGCAGTTGAGGGAAGCCGGGCCAAGGGGAAGCAAGAGAGGGTGGGAGCCCAATGCCGGCGCAGACAGAGGCGTGAGACCCACACCGCTACGCTGGCCTCGGGACTTTCGGACATGGCCCGCGCGCGGCAGCATCAGGGACTGTCAAGCTCCGAGACCTGGCATGCATGGCTCAGTGGCTCTCTTAGTTGTCCAGTAACCTGGGGGAATTGAAGGGGTTAACCTTTGGGATCACAAGGGGATTCTGCTACCCCAAAAAGGTTCAAGGTTTCCTACTCTACTACCAGGGTCTTGTTTGGCCAAGTCAGTTCTTCCCCGCAAGGTTTCGCTTCAGGAGTGTCCCAGAGAATCGCGTAGCCAGTCGTAGCCTTGTGACGGAACTCATCACACCCCTTTGTCCCCTTGGATCCTCGATCTTTCTCGTGTCCCGTCCACCTTTTTCTTTTTGAGAACAACTTTTCCCAAGCTCCGCTGTGGTCGGAGCCTCGTGGGCGCTAGTGGGGCTCCCCTCCTCTCATACGGCGGTGGCGCATGGAGAGGCAGCCAGAAGCCAGCGCGGAGATGTGCGGACTTGTCGGAGCCCAAGGCGATGCTCGTTTCAGGCAATGGAGAACTCGCACCGTGCTGGTGGGGATGCTCAAGGGGCCCAGAAGCCGGAACTCAGGAACTGCCCCGAAGCCTCCTCAGGGCTTGGGGCTGAGGGCCAGGGTGCTTCGGTTTATGGCTTAGGGCTAGCGAGCCCCAGAGTTCCGCATCGCAATCGCACGGCGAGATGTCTTGACCCCAAGCGCTCCTCTACGCGGAGAGGATTCAAAACTCTTGGGGTGGTAGTCACACATGCAAACCACCTCCGACCACAGACGTGGCTTTCTCCCGCCCTTTCCACATGCACGGAGGGCTTAGGGTTTACTGTAGGGTTTAGGGTTTACGGTTTAGGGTTTAGGGCTGTGGAAAACAAAGTGAGAACTGCACATGGCCAGGCGGGTGGCCCGCAGACGGTCCCGGGCACGGGGGCCCTGGGCTTTACGCATGGGCTTAGGCAAAGAGCACTTTTTCAATCTAAAGTGGACAAAAATTTGGGCTGTCACCCCTCCTAGGCTAGTAGAGGAGGGGGCGGTATGTGAGGCAGGTTTTCTCGGCGCGGGAATGCTTAACACTACCCCGGTCCTAGGGTCCACTCTTTTCAGGATACTTGGGAGGCGTGTCAAGGCACAGGTGTGAAAAGGCACAACACTGCCTTGGTGCATGGCATTATGAAAAGGAACTCCATGTGGCAAAAGGCACAACACTGAATGTCAAGCCCCAAGCGCACGCAGGTTCGAGGCAAGCAGTCAGGAGTGCGAAGTTTTGTGCGTGCCTGCATGTGTCTGTGGCCTGGGCAAAGGAAGTCCGGCCGAGGCAGGTGGGTGGGGACTTCTTACTAGGTGTCGGGCGTTTTGCGCAGGGAGGGATTTGATTCTCGGCGATCAGTGCGACCGACACCCTCATGAACATGTTTCAGCAACCTGCACCTTCAAGTCTGGCCTCTGCGTGTCACACCCCTCTCAACCCGGCCTCCCAGGCTCCGAAGGCCCCCAACTCCCTTTATGCTTCCGTTTGTGCAACCTGCTGCGACACAAATTGGCGAATGAGTAAGATAGGAAGGGCACGTGCTTTCGGCTCGCCACAGCAAGCCCTAAGTTGAGTCTCCCCTGGCTCTGAAGGCATTCCCCAAAGAGCACGCGGGCTTTGTTACGCCTTTTGCTGGGCGGCACGCCTTAGCGCCCTGGCCCCAGTGCCGGCAGCGAGGGCACGTGAAAACATGCTCCGGCTTCTGGAACGAAGTTGCAGAGAAGCAGAACATGAACCCTCCAGTCGAAGAACGTCAGCCATGGTGGGTTGCGCAAGGGGGTGCGTTATGCATTCGGGGGAGCCGTTAGGCATGTTAATGCCCAGCAAACCCCCAGCTATCCGGCCCTCACTTGGCCACCAGGCATTAAATCTGGAAGGATTTTGGGCTTCAGCGCGTCTGCATGCTTGCAGCAGAGCTGCGGAGCTCGGATGAAGAGCTAGGCCAGCAAGAGGCAAAAACCCTAAACCCTAAACCCTAAACCCTAAACCCTAAACCCTAAACCCTAAACAAGGGCCGCAGTGAAGTATCAGCTCGACCGCCGCCTCGTAGCTTCGCAAGATGGAGATCACCCCACTGCGACATGCACCAGGCAGATTGCTTGTATGGGGGTTTTCCGAAAATAGGTGTACCCTTGGTACCCTTCTTGAGGGTGCCCTTAAGGGGACCCTATAGGGCTTTGATGTGCTGGGCTTATGATCGTCAGCTTGTGTTGCCAGGTTGGCGCGTGGCATCTTCAGCATCGGCTTTTCCAAGCTTTCTTCTTCGCACTCGGCAGCAGCAGCTGGAGCACGAGGGGCGCGTCCGAGAAATGAAAGCTGTGGCACCACTGTGGCGAAGTCGCGGCATGCTTGGCATGCTTGGCATGCTTGGCATGCGCCTGACTTCCTCCACGGCCCTTGGGCAATCTGGGGAATCCAGGGGCCTGCTGCACACAGTCCTCCTTCCTGAGGAGGCGAGTGGAGGGTGGGCACGTGGCACAGGCCGCGCAGTCCTGATGATGCACTGGCTTTGTCAAAGTCGGGATGGTCTCCATCCGCACGCTCTCCGGCTCTTGCGTTTTGGCCTCCAGGTTGCAGGGCTCACGCGGTCCTCCAGCCCGCAACTTAAAGTGACACCAACTTCTCCTTCGACAGAGCGGGGCCGGGCGTGACTTCGGACATTGCGCCGGCGCACAGGGCTTCTGAAAACTCCTCCCCGACATCCGCTGCCAGCTTGTCACCCTTGTCCGCGGCCTCCAAGTGGGGCCAAGCATCCGCATTTAGCCGAAAGCCACAAAGAAGCAAGCCCGGTGGCAGGAACGAAGCAAGCAGAGACTCATGATCAAGAGCATCACCTGCAACCAAGGCTAAAGAAACGGACCCTACATGGAAGGCGGTGAATCCACCACGGTTGTTGCATTGCTTTGCCCACTGCCTATAGCATGAAGCCTCATGACACTCTTTCAGGACGAGATGTTCATCCCAAGCCGCGCACACGAGGCTAGGGGCTTTGAGAGATTTTGGATGGGAGGCTGGGAGACGTTGCGTTCTGCATCAGAAGGCAAGCACATCTCGTCACAAGCTGCAAGTGCTTTGCTTCAGCAGCCGGGTACACTCACGGGTTCGGGTCAGCTCAGCAAAGGAGCTGCCACCT